AATTATTCATGATCTGACACCCTCGTTATGAGTTCTATGATATCAGTGGTTAATATGTTTGGCCATTTTTAGTGTATATTTATAATAATGCAGCAAATCTACAGTGTTTTATTAACCAAAACTGTTTTTCGCGTTTTTCTCGAGTTGAAGTTTTGATTGAGTACGACTCATTGGGGCCGCCGCCAAATCAAGCACGTTCGGACTAGGACATTCAATCTTGCAGTTATCGTTCAAAAGATAATGATGGTGCGAAATATGTCTGGGTTTTTAAAGAAAATGCTTTGTCACAGAATAATAGTCTGTTAAAGGTGCCAAGTATGAAACAATTTGAGGACAAAAAAACAAACCTGCATAGAAATCAGAATAATAGGTCTTTTGATTACCGGGGACACATTTCAATGCACATGATTACGGACAATGCATGACGTAAATTTCACCAGGAAATTCCGCAGTGTGCTCTCGCAATCGCGGATTTTTACAAGGTTCGCCATTTTTGATGTCACGTGATAATTATGTAAACAACGACTGTCCAGTTTGTGTGAACTTGTACCTCTATTGTTAGTCTTTTGAAATATATAAGCTAAATTACTGTTCTGAACGAGACAACAGACAGAGAATGTTTTATTCGAAAATGTCACAAAACCCTTCTCGCTACCTTAAGTGATTTCATTTTAATCATTTCGCAGATTAGCAATCCCAGGAGCATAGGGAAGATTAATTGTGCGAGTTTTCCTGAAGGATTAGGAATTCAATACAATGTACTGGTGCTATTGAAACCCTTTCAATACACATATTGATTTTATACATTAAGACATTACTTGAATAGAATATATTCACGCAGGTGATTGATTTTTGCATTAATTTTTAAAGTCCTAGTCTATTCATACTCTAATCACTATTTTCATTTCTTTGTGACTGTATGTTTAACTGCCTTTAGCAAATTAACCACAAAGGTTGAGGTAAAGTCTTTTTCTGCAAAAGAAATTAGGTATTGTATATCTTATTTTCATAAGGCCATGAAAATAATTTTTTTGAAATTGTAATTCAACTAACACATTGATTGAAATAAGAGGCATTATTGCTGTTGATTATGCCTAACCCGATGCCATTAGCTAGAAACTGACACTTGTAATTTTGTATTTTTACCTAAAAAATATTTTGGCACACATTTTTTGGCAGGTGGGAAAAACAAGAAACAGAAAAAAATGTTCATGATGGTCTAATCTAGTCTAAACTTTTATATTCAACCCTGACAATGATATGTCATTTTAGCTGTCATGTTATGGAGCTAATTTAGCTAATCAGTATCCTTGCTAATCAGTATCCTTGCTAATTTATCATGTAGATATTATTATCTGTCCCTACACTTTTTTTTTTTAAATTCTCAATTATTACAATGTGTATGGTGCAGCTAATTCAAGAATGAAGTCAATATCTCTATATATAATATACAACTATTATATATAGAGATGTTTATATACCGGTAAATGTTAATTTTTCCATCAAAATGTCATACATCCTGGTGCTTTCTGGGGTAAAAATTAACAATTTACTATAAAACAATAAGAGTTTCTCGATTACCCCACCCACCCACTAAAATATGCAGTTTTTAAAATTGTTAAATATGGCAAAAAATAAATAATAATATTTGAAATTAATGCTGTTATAAAGCAATAGTATTTCCCCCACCTCCAGCAAGTACCAGGATCTGTAATTTTTAGAGGTCCAGTACAAGTTTTGTTGCAGTCACCATTTGTATTACCTTGTACTAATTTACTAAATTTGCTTCAATTTCAAATTCAGGTGCCAGAGAAGGTGTTGAGGATGTTGCTAAATTGGTGCAGGAATTTAAAAGAGATTATTCTATTGATTGGAGATTAGCTTATCAGGAATTGTTACAAGTAACATATCATGCTAAACATTCATATCGTTATCTTGATCAAAATGGAGCTACCAATCAATATGATGACCATGGAGCTGTAGCTGGCATGCAATATAATGACTATGGACCAAATAACCATGGCTATGGAGGTAAGATGTACAACTTTACATCACATGATGACACAATAACATGAGTAGCCAGGCTGTTTTAAGTGTAACAGCCACACTTATGGTCTGCTTCTTGTAAATGTCATGAGGCCAAATTTGTATTTGCTCTATTAGAAGCACATCTCCAATAGAAGCTCATATAAACTAACAATTGAATTCGTAAAATATTAATCATTTTGACCACAAAACACTTCTGTAATTTACATACAGTATAACATGCATGTGCTATAATATAAATAAAATCATTTTATAATGTGAAAAACTGCTATTATTATATTCTACCTTTCCAATAGGAGAGCTGTCTGAAACAAGAAGACCAAAAAAACTGCTAGGTTTTCGACTAGAAGACGTAGCCTTGAAACCAGCATCTTCTGCACTATCAACTATTTCCAGTGATGGTACGTATAACATATACAACTCAACAATTTATTTTATAACTCTGTACATGACTGAAAGTTGTTGTTGCTTCTCAACCTTTGCATAATTCCTAACTTTTATTTTAAAGGTGTTTTTTTTTTTTAAATTGCGTTTTACTTTAACCTATATTATCTGTTGGTTTTTTAAGATTCCTGCAGTTCTGCAACTTCTATTTATAAATAAGTAATTGTGCGTGGATGTTTACTCATATTTTCAGTATCGTCAGCAGCAACTTTTATTTTCTACTTAAAATTAATACTGTTTATATTATAAGGTTATTACGAGAATACTTCGAAGTATGCACGGAGACAGTACAGCTGGAGTGTCGACCGACGCGCAGCGGATGTCGATGCGCTGCGTACTGTCTGAGTGCATACTTTGAGGTATTCTCGTAATAACCTTATTATTATACATCTTTTCCTTCCAAGGATACACCGTGGGAATGCCGAAATTCAAAGTGTTTAGAATAGAACAGCGAACTTCTTTGTGTGGAGTCCAGTCAAACTCTGGTGGCAGCCATGTTTGTTTTTATTATTAGAGGACGCTTACGCGCGCAATCATTCCATATTTGGAATTCCCATTTCCTAACATGGTAGGATAAAAATACCCCGTAAAATTACGGTGACAGATGTATAATAATATCTTTTATTATTTTCTTCTTTTACTATATATAAATGATAATTAACAAGCTTGCTTGCATTGTATTAACACATTGATAGCCAAAACATCACAATCCCAATTATATGTTTTGGGTCATTTTGGATCATTTGGCCAGGAATGTGTTAATACATTTCCCCTTTCTTCTTCTCTCTGTAATCTATCTTTTTCTCTAGCAGATAGTCATACAAGTTCAGACAAGTCTGAGCAAACCAAGAAAAGCACCGAAGTGGGTTAGTATGATGAAAAGTCAAAAATAATAAAATAACCCATTTATGTTTTATGTCAGTAATTTCTATTCATTTTGTAACCCAATGTAACCCTGATTAATATTTTTTGTCAACTTTGTTTGTTCATCTAACATACATGTATTATGATAACATAGATTGTGTGTTACTGTGTTGGTTGGTAGGGAAATGATCAAAGGTAGTTCTTTATTTACCATATACATGTACACGTTTGTATGTGGTCTATGCTCAATTCTACACTAGAAATGTAAAAACTATACTACAATAGGTATAGTAAATGTTAACTTGAAATAGAAACATTTTACAAGCACAAAGTATTGGACTCCTAAATAATCTCTTTACAAATTATTGCCGCATTATTTTGAATTTATTCCCTGTTTTGTTTTATTGATGGCATTCTCTGTTTCAGATAATTACAGTAACAGATGAATTTTTGAAACTACCAGTAGTCATATATTAAATCTTATTCATGTCTTAACCAACTAAACACACAATCAGTGAAAGCTTATTTTGAAACATAACTAGTACATGTAGGTATTGTGTATTTTCAGCTGTTCACATAATTTAGCACATAAACATTTTTGCTATCACATAATATAATAATTTGTGAGTAATTAATTCTGCTGCAAGCACATCTCTAACAGAAGTTCAAATGAAAAACTTATTTTGGCTGTTGAAGAATTATACCAATCATATGATAGCACTTATAATCTTCACTTATAAATTGGATAAAAAGAGTCTGAGCATTTGTCAGGCTGTATATTAAATAATCATAATCATAATCATAAATGTTTGTTACTTAAATTATTAGTAATAGCATCACTATTCATTATGCTTTTAAAAAAAAACATATACATATCTCTCCATGTGTTATGGAAAAATACTGCTCCATATTTATTTTCTAGTAATAGTTTTTAAGATGTGTGGGCACAATATTAGCACATGTTAGTGGTATACTGTACGATACATGTTTGTTGAACCATAGACTACCGGGTATCCTCTATTTTGCTAATAGGTGTTCCAGATGCATTAATATTCTTATTTGATGGTTTCTCTGAATCATGTTTTGTTTTTATTGTAGTTGATATCCCTTTGCAGCAAGTTATTCATGTATCAGCCAGCATAAGCCGGGAAGCATCAGAAGGACGTTATGTGACAGACATGCAAGCTTTACCACAGACAGCCAATAATGACTCATCAGATTCAGAGACCGAGATTTTTATGGATGAAGACAGGTATAAAAACATTTCTACCTTGCATATTACAGATTTTTTGACCAATAAAATCTTTGGTCAAACATACTTGATTGAAATGAAATGTATGTACCATTAACTAACACCTGTCAACTGATTGGTTATTTAGGTGTTTTTTTTCGTCAGCCACATCGTATCTGTAATGGAACTGTTATAGTTCTAGTTCGAACGAAGTCGGAAAATGGGCATTTTTGGTCCTGGTTCGAATGAAGTCGGGAAAACAGGCATTTGTTCGTCCATCCATCTGGAACATTCATTCATTCACTAATTTCATTCAAACTTGGTACAAAAACAATACAAAATAGAATACATCCTCAAACAAAATTGACATTTTTTCTTATTTATAATACTATACTAATTTGAGATGAGTGGGTTGATTGCAGTTAAACTTGGTGCTATGTTAAATACATATTTTTATGTTATTTGTTCAAAATCCAATTCAAGATGGCAGTCTAGTGTCTATTTTGTTTTTTCACTATGTCCCACTTAATCGCAGCGGCTTCATATGATTTTAAAATATCAAATGCACTCAAGTTATTGATTGGGGACTATGTCATTTACAATGACATGTTGATGAATGTTTTTTTCCAAAAGTAGTTGTCATGTTAGCTGTACATACTATTTTTGTTTCCAGTCCTTTTCCTCAGCACCTTGCGAGTCAAGCTAGTCATAGAACTTTATATAGTCGTAGAACCACCATATACTCTGATAGGCGTACAAGTACCAGAGAGAGAAAATCCAGAGCCTCCACTCACAGGAAATCATTACAAAGTCCCAAGTCACCTGATAGAGTAGAAGAAATACTACCAGACATACCTTCAGAGGAGAAACTCATAGATAGCAAGCCAGCAACCAGACAGAATAAACGATTGCGCAGCAAAATTAAAGATGAAGACGAGGAAGATATGGCTCTAGATATACGACCAGAACTTTACCAAGCTGTTGATTTGCTAGTAAGCATATTTACCCAGTCATTGTGAGATCATCACGAGAATACCTCAAATTATGGCAACTGTATCCAACATGTAGTGGAGGTTGATACAACCATGTACTGTCTGAGCGCATGCTGTACTGTATTCTCGTTATAACCTTATTATATATAACTGCTTGAAATGTCAAACAAAAAATGTTTTGTACTATGCAAATATTTTATTTTCATCACTCTTTATAGCACTTCAGTAAACAAAAGAAAGTGTTCAAACATGGTTTCATCAAGCTGAAATGCGTCATAGTTTACAGAATTTACAGGGAAAATGGCTTATGGCTTTTAAGTAATAAGGTTACTAGTAATATAAGGTATTACAAGAGTACCCCATAGAATGCACAAAGGCAATAGTGGAGGTCAATGCATTCTCATACTTCCTGATTGCTTGTAACTTTGCGGTATTCTCGTGATAACCTAATTATTATACATTTTTTTTCTGCTTATAGTAATAGTTTATTGAGACATACCGGTAATAGTTCAAAATGGCAACAAAGAAACATTTGTGTTCTGTGACAAGAATTTATTTCCACCACACATTGATACTAGATCTTTTTGTGTATGAAGTAAATAAAGGAAAGTGTTTAAATGTGTCGTAAACGTGACATTCACTTGTGTCCATAATACATTCAAAACGTTCGCAGTGTTTTATGGATGGGTACATTCTATTGTTTTTGGTGTCAGATGTATAATAATTTAACTTATTGTTAGAATTTCTGTCGTTAACTAATACTTTGCATTTTTTAAGGGCAAGTCCATGTCTAATCAACGATTGGAATGGAGAAAAGAAGATGGCAGAACCATCAAACATACTAAATTTGCTGGTTTGGTGAAGGGAGTGAAAAGAGTGAGGAAACTTCAAGGGCATATGGATGCTGTTCATTGCTTAGCATTTGATAATAGACGTATTATTAGTGGGTCACTTGATAGAACTATCAGAGTATGGGACATCAGGAGTGGTCGTAGTATAAGAAAGATGTATGGACATAAGGTAACATTCACATTTTCGTATATATTTTGTTGATATTAATGATAATGCCTATTTGGGGGATGGTGAATAAAGCTTGATAAATTGATCCTAGTTTGTCTACCTGTCATTATTTCTGCTACAGTTGGTTGGCAAAATAGCAAATCATAATGGGAGATACAATTACTTTTTTTTTCTGTTGACCTTTGACTAACTGATGGCTCTTTTAGGCAAAAAAAACACCCACATGTCATGGTAGGTAACTGATGCACATCAATTTTTTTCGCTATCTGATTCAAAATAGAATTTTGTGAATTTGCTTTGTAATTTGATTCAAAACATGTGGCCATGTTGGTTTACCATTTTCAGACATACTTCGGCTCTTCACTTAGTGGATGTAAGCATGTTATGCTGAATACTCTCCCAACATTCAATTATACTGATAATCAATGTTTTTCACACTGTTACTATAAAACTGGACGGGAACTATGTCATTGAAAATAATCTGTTTAATTATTGTGGTCGCTCATTTATTTTGAACAACTAGCCAACAATATCCTCAGGATACTTTGTTCAAAATGTCTGATTATATTTAATATTTGTTAAGGACTATGATTACCTACTACCATTTACCAGTTACAGGTATTGCAACGGCTTACATATTTATAAGTGAGATTGATAATGAGGATGTACATGCACATGTTATGTGTTGCTTATCCTGTTCCCTCTACAGGTGTTTTTCATTGAATGTTAAGTCAGTTTGTTTCATACTTAATCTGGGAAATGACAGGGTCTTTAACATCAACCAATATTACATGTATGTCTTTGTTTTTCAGGGTGGTGTATTGTGTATTCAGTTTGATACTGAAAGAATAATATCTGGTTCCTGGGATATGACAATCATGGTGTGGGATATTATTAAATTTAATAGATTGGCTGTATTAACTGGTCATAAAGGATCAGTTTCGGATATCAAGTTTAACAGCAAAATCTTGTAAGTACCCTCTTTTAGTACATTTTGTATTTAATACCATATTTGCTCTATTTTAAAAACTGATAATAGTGTGCTGTAACAGGTCATGGGGCAAATCATCAAACATTTCCCCTGATTCACACTTATGCATAACAAAAATATATCACTTAATGGTCCCAATAAAACTAGGAATGATCTCAGAGCTCACATTTACTATGAAACTACCTGCTCTTTATCTCTTGTGACAGAAATATTCTTATTACCAATTTTTGCATTTTTTTTACAATATGGATGTGAAAGTTTTATGATATTCATTTTATTTTGCAGAGTCTCAGCATCCCATGATACAACAGTTAGAGTATGGTCCTTGGAAAATTATTCCTGTACAAACGTATTAGAAGGTCACACCGATGCTGTAACTTGCATCTCATTTGATGGTACCATTGTTGTCAGTGGATCTACAGACAGGTAAGTTCTTGTTACTGATACCTGTACCATAGAGGTTGTTAATATCTTGTAAGTCTCTTGTATGAACCATACAGTTTTGTATTTGGTTTGGCTTGCATAAATATTAATATTGCATTCACTACTTATCTTCAGAACAATTCGAGTAACCAATGTATTTACTGGTGAGTGCTTGATTACATTAACAGGACATAAACAGCCAATCACTGCTCTTGAGGTAAGTCATAGATGTGAATCGGTGTTCTCCCAGAACGTCTCGCTTGTCCTTCCGGACTCATTCTCGGAGATGACATTTCCATGTTTTTTTATTTTGAATTCTGATAAACATACTGATGGCCCTATTTTGTTTATACATGTGACAATACTGATTAGGTAGTATCTTAGAACATGCATCTAATGCCTATCAGTGACAATGGTTGTAACATTTACACTAATGTGATGTACATTTTGATTTAGGTACAAGGTGATCTAGTTTTAAGTGGTACATTCAATGGTAATGTATTCTTCTGGAATATAGAGACTGGTGAAAATGAAGCTGGAGTAAAATTACATGAAAGTAGTATAAATAAAATACACTTTTTACCCATGGGACCTTCTGGCACACGATTCATGACTGCCTCTCAGTAAGTATTGAGCATTTCTACTACTCATATATATCATGTTGACGACCTTTATTTCAAACAAATTCTGTTTGTTTGTGTTAATGTTATACATTTATGAGTTTAGGTGTCAATAATATGTTGTTATTGTTTTCAGTGACTCTATAGTGAAGGAGTGGGATTTGAATACTATGACTTGTGTGCGACAGCTACATGGCCATAAAGGACCTGTCAGAGATGTTAAGGTAGGGGAGTAATGTAGCCACTTTTTGTAGTCTTAATGAATTTCGACTGTGTTTTCATAAATTGTAACATTGCATTTAAGTCAAACATGCTTGAAACCAACCGTCACACTGTCTTTTCTTACTTTTGTACAAATTCAGTCTCCAATCCACCTGATTATACATAAGTTCTGAATTTCACTATCATACATTTTATTATTTGCTAATTTATTAGATAAGTGAAGACCATCTTGTAAGTTGTAGCGATGATGGCAATCTTCGAATATGGGATTTAATGACACCATTACTGAAACCACCGGATGATTCCCATGGCAAAACAATACCGATGCATACGATAAAGCAAGGAGAAAATTAAAACATCATATTGAAATAATCAAACAATATGTATAAATTTTTGTGTGAGTGTATGTGTGTTTGTGTGTGTGTGTGTGTGTGTTTTTTTATATAACATACTTACTAAAATTGTATATGAAAATAGATCTTCCATTCAGTTGTAAATATGTTTGTGTAATAATTAATTGTAAATATAATACAATGTCAAAAGGCTAGTAGAGTTAGATGAACATTTGTTGTCAGAAAATTTTGACTGATGGATGATATCAAAAAAGTAGATCATCTCAGCATGTGGTGCTGACAGCTTGGCCTTTAAACAATTGATTGTAGTTGGAATTGGATTTTGCTGACAATGTGTTCACTTTGTGAATTGTTTCAGTGGCATGCAAAATATAAAGATATTTGTTTTCACTTGATTTTATTTTTGTTGATTTGCTGTTAATCCATTTTCGCTCAGCATTACTTGTATACAAATTCATCAGCATGTCAGAATTATCACAAAATAGGCACCTTATACAGAATTTTAACTGTCACAGGGCACTAAGCTGAGTGAACACTCCAAAATGTGACCAAATCTTCAAGGTTTGTGTAATATAACCAGCTTCCAATCTGGCTGCAATTACTCTGGTGCATGTATGTTGTTATCAATGGTACCGTTATTTTTAATATCAGTGGGGATATAATCAATATATAATCACCTAGATTACACTAATGCAGCTAGCTGCAATTCAAACTACAGATTTACTGCAGTGTATGTATATTTTCTTCCAATATCCCAAATGATGTTCACTATACAAATCCATACAAAATTCTCTCAATCAATCACATCATGTGATCTGATTGATGGAAATGGCAGTCTTGTTAGAATTTTGTATTTCCATTTGTCATTAAAAGCAAACTATCAATTTAAGTTGCCATTAAAGATCTGTGTTTTCCGTGATTGTACACTCTTAACTCCTTTCAGTATAAAAACTTAAAACTACAATTCTTTTTTTTTTTTCAAATATAACAGAACATCAGACTTTGTCCATACACAAATTCTTGTCAATCAGTCACTGCACGTAACAGTGCAACAGCCTATATGTATATAGTACCATATTTCTCTGTGCCATATTATACCAATGTATGCATTTACTTACATTCCATTTATATCAAGTCTCAGTAGTGTCATACAGTATTATTGAATACATTGTATGTGTCCTGCTACTTATTCTGCTTCAATTTATTTACATAATTACATATATTTACAAAAATAACTTGTATAACCACGATATGTTGTATATTTCAGCTTTTGCCATTGTATTTAAAACGGAGGAGTCGTCGCCTGTGCATGCGTGAGATGGCCATAGCGTGTCATTGTTTACAAACAAGCGTCTACTCATGAGCCTTTGCAATGTTAGCGTGTGTTGTTATCCTCGCTCAATTCTCGCGCATGCACAGGTGACGACCCCCCCGCTTTAATTATCGACAACCATGACAAGTATCTATGCATATTTCTACAATAAAACGTTTTTTAAAACAAAGTTGAACTTCTGACCTTGTGTGAGTGGGGCAATATGTGTACTTTTTTTGGGTGGCATGAATTAAGACCATCCACACTACCTCCATCAAAGGTATTTTAGCACAACTGCCTAAACATCAACATCAATTGCCAATGTCTCAAGAAATGTTTTAATATAATTTAAAATTTTAAGGCCTTGTACTGTTCTTGAGAAGCTGTGGAAAACAGAAATTTGATTTTTGAAAGTTAAACATTACATCACATATATTCCGCTATACTAAAATGCATTTTTTCACAGCAGTTGTCTTGTTTGTCAAGTACTGTACAGTAACCACAGTTATAATTAGCATAATCAAAAAGATAAGCAATTTGCAGACATTCTGAATAGTTGATTCGTACTGTTTTTGACTCCCATGTGCGAAGCACATGCTCTGGGATTAGTTTCTGGTTGAATATTATATACTTAATTTGCATATTAATTAGAAAATTTCAAGTATCATTTAACAGATTTCAATGAAATTTTGTATATAGATGCTTTTGAATAATGCACAGACCTGATTAGTTTTTGATTGAAATTTGTGCATATTAATGACCTAATTTGCATATTAATTAGCCAATATTAAGCCGCCTCACTTTTTCCCTCGCAAGATTTCAATGAAATTGATACACAAGTGGTCTAGGATAATGCATATACTTGATTAATTTATTGTTGCAATCTGTGAATATTATTTTCCACCAATATCTCAATCTCTTGGTACATAGGTGCTCTTGGATAAGCCATGTACATGCTTAGTTTAGGGTTACATGTTTTGTTTACTGATTACAAATATTTGCATAAATTAACAGTTTATAAATTACTTTAGGTATCCATGTCTTGTATGTTGTATAAATGTTATCTAATTTATGTAATGTCTCAAGCACTGTTGCAGACTAGGATTGTAACTAGTGCTATAATGGAAGCATGTGACAAGAGAATAACATATCAGATGACTATACACGGTCATGTGACCTAATTAATATGCATAACTAATATTTCGGGCACTGTTGCAGAGGATACATGCATTCGGAGCTATATTGAAGGCATCAGATGAGATATTACTACCATATCAGATGACTATACATGGTCATATGATCTAATTAATATGCATAACTAATATTTCGGGCACTGTTGCAGAGGATACGTGCATTCGGTGCTATACTGAAGGCATCAGATGAGATATTACTACCAGATCAGATGACCATATGTTGTCATGTGACCTGGTTAATATGCACAGCTGTATTGTAATAACCACTGTTGCAGATAGTGACATGCAACCAGTGCTATAATGATGGGATCTGACAATGTGATAAGACTAATGTATCAGAGGACTATATATTCTCATGTGACCTCTAATATGCATAACTGTAATATCTTAACTAGCACTATAAATGCAAGACCACAATATCAAGTCATCATATATGGTCACAATTTCATTAAATATTTATAATTGTTATACCATAGCCATTTTGAACCACCCTGGTCACTGCTTGAAGCTATGGCGTATTTGTTGTTAGAAGTATATCTGCTCAAATGTAAAATGGCAAAGGCAAGCCTAGATGTATGCAATAAATACTTTTTTTTTGCTTTATGTGTTTTGGAAATGTGCTTCTAATATAGTAAATACAGTATTCCTTATTTGTACTTCATTCCTCCAATACCCCCAGCACACAGGTGTTCTTTCTAAGCTATATTAGGTATGTTGTGAAAATATTGTTTCTTGGTGTTTTGAAAATAAACTGAATAATCTCAATAATAAATAATTTCAATAATCCTATTTGTCACCATATACTTGTAATGGTATCTCTAAAGTTTGTGAACATTTTCTGATGCATTAATCATATTCTGGTATCCTCGGGGGCGGAGCTACGTCACGGACGTTCCACGTTGCTAAGACGCGCTCCACTGTACATGCATTTCTATGGGCTCTGTGCGCGCTGCTGTGGAACGCCGGTCGAGCCGGTGAAAATTCGAGAAAACAACACAAACTCAACTTTAAAGTAATCTCGAATAACCAAATTTATATATGTTACACACGTAGGGCTAATTTTGTTGCACTGTTCAGAGGAGTCTCAACAATCATCCCGAAGTACCGTTTTATGCGAGTTTTGGGCCTTTGTTTTCACCGCCGCGGGTTGCCAGGCGGTGAAAATGCCCGGATGTCCGCCCCCGAGGATAGTTGCAATTCGATTATGTTGCAAAGTGTACTTACGAAGATTTCTACATATCTAGCCAATTAATTAGAAAGCAGCCTATTAAAATATTCATTATTGGCTGACCTGTTTTTGCAGGTTTATAAAGGTATAAATGATGAGAAATGAAGGAATATGGTTCGTATTGTCTCTTCTATTGAAAGACATGAATTATAAAATCTTTAATTACTCTTTGTGCAGTGACAGTGGCGTGTTTTTGAGAAGCGCCCTCTACATTGAAGTGTAAATGACTTTGTTTTTAGTCTGCCACAGCCGACGATTCTTTACAGGTGCATTTTTATTCTGTACAACTACACTACACGATTTCAAAACTCTGCGTTTCAGTTGTATGCTTAAAGGCTCATGTGTTTATATGCTCTTGACATTTGTATTGGAAAGTGCCTGGACACTGTCGTGTACTGTCATGCATCAGTTAAGGCAGATAATACGCAAGCACGCACGCACATAATGTCACAGCGCCCTCTTGCTTTTCCGTACTGTGAACTGACTTGGGTTTCAGGATAAAGAGATAAATCCCCCTCGAAGCCATTTACGTTTCAACCGTCTACATTCCACGCCACCGTCTGGAAAGTCTCTGCTTTGCACGTGTTGACGTCGGGTAGCAATTGTATGACACTGACCCATGGTACTAAAATGATATCTGACACTTGGAAAGCGATTAAAATAGCTAGGTGCACAAACACAAATGGCCTCCGAATCCAAATAAAATGTGAGATTTAACGTTTCAGAATAAACAGATAGTAGTTGGCGTTAGTAGTGTTAGGTCGTGGTGATAGAAACGTACTGGCACTGCTCCAAGAGAATTACACACAGCCGGTTAATGTCATGCAAGACTTGCCACACGTCTTCATTGTCATTGACACCCATATGGACTCGTATATTCACGTGGACTTTTACCAGAGAGTGATCTACCATTTAGGACGGCTTAGGTCAATTGAAAACTGAGACTGAAGAAGAAAAGGCAAACTAGTAAAAGCAGCAATGATAATGAATGATGAGAGTCCTACCGGAAAATGTAATTGTTTTGCTGGCGTCGATTTTGTTTATGTTTGTGTCTGATTGTCTGGTCAAAACGGGTCCGGATGGTTCTCACGAATTAAAAAAAGGGCAATCTTGCAAAAATGAACGTGGATTGGGATTGTTTGGTCTCTTTACTTCGCTTCTCAGAAATTATCGTTTCTTCTCTTGCCATCTTTTTTTATCTTAGTGTCCTCTTCTCATCGCTATCTTTGTTGACCAATGAGCTGATTGTATTTACTCCTAGGGCCACAACTGCAGATTA